GGGGAAGCAAAGTGAAAGGATTCGGCTGTGCACTGTGGCAGACTGTTATTTTTATGGGTTTTCCAGCTCAGCTAACAGCGGGACTTTTTCACGGTTTATATCTACTCTTAAGAAAAACCACTGAGCCGTTAAAGCCTTGTTATTATTTGGTCCCCATATTGATTCCGTTTCCTATAGCTTACTTTTAGGGTAGGTGGTAAATTATTTAACATTATATTAAACTCTCCTTATCATGAATTGTAAACTGAAGGAAATCATACAATTTCTGAGAAAAGGTAGAAAGGATGACCTAAATCCTGATTTATCCATAGCAAACATGTCTATATATGATTGCCAAGGTTGGGTTTATAATATAAATATTAAAAATTTTAAATTTTATCGGGAAAGCTTTCCTTCTAAAAAAACTTTTTAAAAAAGTATTTTTTTTCTCGGTGGTATAACTAACTTACTCCTCACGCTCCTCACCATGGAGAAGCCTCCGAGAGCAGCAAGTGGGCGGCCTGCCCTATTGGGGTTCGGTTTGGGGTGCTAAGGCACTGATAGTAATGGGGTGGGAAGAGATGAAATAGCAAAGCTTATTCTGGTGAGGTGGTTTTTTTTTTTAAGGCAAAAAAGACTTAATACGCTTTCCCTTAGGACTGGAAGAGAGATCGAGGAGCTGCCTGCCTGTGGGAGGTGAGGGGCAGGACAGGCAGTCGGTCAGGTGCTGAATGAAGCCTCTGAGCTGATGGGGCCAGGCCCGAGGGTGCTGAGGTGCCTCACACACGCAACCCCGTTGCCTGCATTTGGGCTCGGGTTTAGCCATTGCTAGTTCTGCTGCTCTCTAAGCTCTGACTGCCAAATAAATCATCCTTGTCTCCTTTTTCCTTTAACTGGTGTGTTCTTTGTGGGCATAGGAAGCCAGATTTCTGTTGGCTTGTTGACAAGGGACCATCACCTGGTATTTTTTCTGCAGGAGAAGCAGGTGGGACGTTCCCGGTCAAGCAGAACTTGCCGCCTCTGGGCTACAAGGAGTATGAGGCCACCGTCTCCTCCAGGGTGCCACCTGGGGTGTTGATGGGTGGAGTGTGGCAGCCAGCTATGGCAGTGGGCACTTCCACAGAAACCTCTCCTTTCAAAACACTCAGTGTTAGACATGGGTGCCATGTGCCATTCTGGCTGCCTCTGGAGCATGAACCAAAATCTGAGAATATGGTTGAAGAGGCCCTTCCCTCCCTATCCTCCCTGTGTTGCTTTTATCGTGGTCTGCTGGTGGGGAGAAAAAATCACACCATACAGAGTGCCTGCCTGCCTGGTGGGTGGATGGGTGGAGAGAGGCTTTCCAGCGAGCCCGAGAAGACCTGTCATCGAAGGGATACAGGTAAGTGTAATTAGTTGGTTCTTAGGATGGTGATTATCCCCTCCTGCACAGTCCGAAGCATGGTTGGTGGCTTTGGATCAAGACTGTTTAAGACAAGCCCAGTGTGGATTTAGAGTTGTAGGTTTAAAACATCCCTTTCCCATTTGACAAGTCAGACCAAAGACATGCATTTCTCAGGTCCACGGATGTGGGGCCAGTCCTAGTTCATTGGAGGCCCCTCTAAGCATCACCCGCTTGGAGAACTGGCTCATCATTTAAAATATTTCCTGTCATTCCCCAGCCAGTCCCAGGCTGCCACTGCTCAGGTTCCTGCCTCTGAGGCTTTCCCCCTAGAGCTTCCTGCCCTTCTCAGGGGGGACAGCCCAGAAAGAAGCCCATGCCTTCCAACAAAGGAGGCAAGAACATACAATGGGGTAAAGACAATCTGTTCTTGCATTTTTCAACTGGTGTGCCACAAGAATTATTTTTAAAACATGCAATACCTGACTATTCAGGGGCACTGACCTCTTTTCCCTTAGATTGTCAAATGAAAGAATGACAACAGCCAACACAACAATAGCCATCGGGTCTGAATATGCTGCCTTGAATCATAACAAAGTTCATATAATAGGTTGCATCTTACTGGTCACATCGCATAAGATTGTGTCCAATTGGTTAATTCTTGGTACTAGAAATCATATATACAAGTATGGGCACTTGGTTTTTTGTTTTTTTTTTACAAATTCATTAGAAAAAGAAGGGTAGGTAATTTGGTAAGTTGTCAAAGTTACATCTATATTTTTTTTTGTCAGATCACCAATAAATTTTTTGCTATACCACAGAATTTTAGTAATTAGTTATGTCTGCCATGGGATGGAAAAGTTGAAAAGCGCTGGTTTATTCAGTAAAAGGTGTTGGGGAAATTGTACAGATACGTGCAAAAAAATGAAACTAGAATGCCTTCTTACACTATATGTAAGAATAAACTCAAAATGGATTAAAGATTTAAATATAAAACTTGAAACCATAAAACTAGAGAAAACATAGGCAGTAAAATATCTGACATTTCCATTAGCATTATTTTTTCTGACATATCTCCTCAGCCGCAGGAAACAAAAGGAAAAATAAACCATTGGGACTACATCAAACAAGTTTTTGCACAGTAAGGAAACCAACAAAATGAGAAGACAATCCACTGAGTGGTAGTCACCAATGATACATCTGATAAGGAATTAATATCTAAAATTTATAAGGAACTCATACAACTCAAATTTAAAAAAAATTAAACGAGAAGATGTTCAACATCACTAATCATCAGAGAAATGCAAATTAAAACCACAATACAATATCACCTCACACCTGTAAGAATGGCTATTATCAATAAGCAAGTGTTGGTGAGGATGTGGAGAAAAAAACTACATTGTTGTGGGGAATGCAGCCTGGTGTAGCCACTGTGGAAAGCAATATGGAGTTTCCTCAAAAAATTCAAAATGGAACTGCCTTATGACACAGTGGTTCCATTTTTGGGAATATATACGAAGAAACCCGAAACACTCATTCAAAAGAATAGATGCACTCCTATGTTCACTGCGGTACTTCACAACAGCCCAGCTTTGGAAGCAGCCCAGGTGCCCACCAATAGGATTAAAAGGCAGTGGTACATTTACACAATGGGATGTGACTTGGCCATTAAAAAAAAAAAAATGAAACCTTTTGCGACAGCATGGATAGACCTGGAGAGCATCGTGTTCAGGGAAATAAATCAGAATAAAAGGCCATATGATTTTACTCGTGGAATCTAACGAACAAAATCAATAAAAACACTCACAGGTACAGAGAAAGACTGATGGCTGCCAGAGGCGAGGGGAGTTGGGGGACTGGGTAAAAGGTGAAGTGACTAAGGAGTACAAATTGGTAGCCGCCAAACAGTCCCAGGATGTAAAGAACAGCACAGAGGAGAGGGTCAGTAACGGTGGCCAGTGAGGACTTGAACTAGCAGGAGGACCACTTGGTAAAGTATATGATTGTCTAGCCACTGTGCTGTGTACTTGAAACTATTGTACTACAAAGCAATTTTGAATGTAAACTGAAATGGGGGGTGGAGAGGCGGGAGTGGGGGGGTTAACCTGGGCTCTCCTGGCCCGTGTTTTCCGGCCCCGGATACCAGGGGACAGGAGAGCGCTTCTCCGGTCAGCGAAGGAAGAGCCTGTGCTGGCGGTTAGGGGCGCCTGTCATCCTTGCCATGGCAACCACGTTCGTGCCTGTGGTGACGTACCTCCCCTTCCTGAGCACAAGCCTTTCCGGAGCAGGAGCACCGCGGGGAGGAGCGGCTGCCGCAGCGCTGCCTCTGCTTCCACTGCCAACACCCTGGGCCCGCCTCCTGGAAGGAACGGACAGCCCTCCGTCAGGCACATTCGCACATCAGTCTCACCTCAAAGTCCCTCCAGACAGACCTGATGGTTCATGGCTGACCCAGAGGCCCAGCAAGGGGTAGGGGTGAGGGGACACCTCCGTTGGGAGGGACTGAATCTCTCAGACCCAGGGTTGGTAGCTATTTCCCTACACCATGCCTCAGGCATGTCCCTGCAGTCCCGCAGCGTGGGCGGGCGGGCTGGCTGCCTCCCACCCCCAGTCAGGCATCGCCTGGGAAGCTTCTGTTCTGGAAAACTGGTTTCGGGGACCCTAGCATGCCTTTTTCAAAAGCTCCCAGATGACCTGAGTGGTCAGGGCTGAGAGCAGGGCAGGAAAAGGAAGTCAGTGGTACTGGGACAAAGGCAAGACAACGATCCTTTGCAGGGTCCTCTGCGCCTGGCTGGCTGCAGACCAGGGACAAGCAGACTCACCCGGGTTCCATGCGCACACAGCACTGCCTCCACGGTCACCGTCCCCAGCCTGGTCACGGGTGAGAGCCCTTCACTCTAAAGGCTGCCCTGGGCGCAGAGGCGGCAAGAGCGTTTCTGACCTGCTGACACGCTGGCACTGCAAGGACCTGGGCCATGGCAGAGGCAGGCCTCCCCTCCTGACCAGGCATCCTGAACATCACCTGAAGGCTGGGGCTAGGAACTCACTTGTCTCCACTTGAGCCCACCTCGAACTTCCAGTTCCGTTGAGGAAAAGGTAGCTAAGCCGCATCACGTTATCCCATCAAACTAGCTCAGGGAACAAAATGAGGCCATGCTTCCTCCACGCTTCAGTTACTTGGTCCAGCCCCGACTCAGTCTGAGGACCCTCCTCCCCGGGTCTTAGCTGGTAATCTCCAGAGCACTCATGCCCAGATGGCAGTCGGGTTCTGTTCCCTGCCTGGAAACCCACAGCCACCCCTTGTTGGCCACCTCTGCCAATTCCATCCACAGTGTGTCCCAAGCGAGCCGCTGCCCGGGTCTGCACCCACCCTGGGGTCAGCTGAGTGGCCTCAGGTTCCACACTCGCGGTTGTTCTAGCTCCCAGGCTGTCCTCACCAGATACTGGGTGACAACTGGCCTGGCTCAGCCTCTGTCTCTGCCACGTAGGAGCCGAGCAGGAGAAACTTCTGAGTGAGTGAGGGAAACTCCCTGCTCACCCATCCAGCTCACAGCCGCCTTACCCAGAGTGAACCCACACATGTGAAGTGTTTAGCTTTTTTTCTGACTCCCCCACAAAACAAAAGTCAGCAGATAGGAAATGTATTTAAGTTTTTATTTAGGGACAATTGAAAGAGTTGAAGTACCATTTCGGCCCATTTCAAATTGTACAAGAAGTTTTTCCCTGTTGCCTTCTCTTATCCACGTCCACGGATACAAAACCTAGGAAATGTGCAATTTGCATCTTAGAAATAGCAGCAGCCCGACAGGGACCTTGGTGAGCCTGGAGACGGCCCAGTGCCAGCCTTGCCTCGGCACAGCCATGGTCCCAAGGCAAGTTACCACCTGTTAAGCATGCCCCTGTGGCAGAACCCCCTTCCACAGGCCAAGGACAAAGCCACAAGGCGCCCCTCGGCGCGCTCACAGGGGCCACCGCGGGAGGTGGGACCCCCTACACGGTAAGGTAGCGTTTTCATCTGCCTCCAGACAAACAGGAACGGCAGCTGCCTCTTAGCACCACGGTGATCACTTCTGCAGCCATCTCTGGGAGACAGGAAGCGAACCCAGAGCACTGGTCAACAGCCCCCCCCTCAGCAGCCCTCTGGAACAAAGGGTTTGTACTGAGCCCAGAATCTGCCCGGTGGTGGAAGCCAGGAAGCAGGACCATCGGGAAGGAATCTGCAGGCCTTTGGCAAACTCCCTGAGTTCCAGAGAGACTGTGCTCAGTGAACTCAACAAACAATGGCCGGAGGACAGGGGGGAAGGGTGGCGTGTTTTCTCTTTACACTATGGCCCTCCTGACACAGCTGGCAAGGCAGCTGCGCAGAAACCAGCAGCCTCCTCCGCACAGTGCTCACCTCCCCTGGCACTGGCCGGCTTCACTGCACAGTGACGACCCTGCTGGGGGCAGGGCGGGGGCAGGCCCCCTCCTGGCTCTGGGGAACCTGGGCTCCAGTAAACTGCAGGACTGAGACAGCTGTATGGGCAGGAGCCACGGGCAAGTGGCCTTCTCTCAGGACTAGCATGGACCTGTGGGTAGATTCTTACCCGAACAGTCTATCCGGAGTGTGACTCCTGGGGAAGATGGAGCTTTTTATGGACAGTGTCTGCACAGCCTGTGTCATCCCGAACAGTTCACTGCAGCCCCAGCTACACTGAGCACTTTTAAACCCTCATTCATCATGGGAAGAACAGGAGTTACAGAGCACTAGCAAAGAGAAGCTACTGACACACTCAAGTGCTCACAGGCCCACACACACCATCAGAGCCGTCTCCTGAAGAGGCACAAAGACAGGCGAACACTCCCTCTCAGGAGCCTGGTTCACCGCCCGCCCCTGGTGGACAGCAGGAGAGAGGAGAGGAGGGAAGGGGACCACAGCCCCCCGTGCTCACCTCCCTCCGCTGCGCCTGGCTCAGGCTGAGCACAGCAGTGACCAGGTCTGAGGGCTGTGGGAGCCTTCGGGCTGGCAACAAGGCAGGAACTACCTGTTCTTTGTGAATCCTTGCAGAACTGCAAACTAAAATCTCATTTTTAAGCTCCTGGCTGCAGGTGCTTGCCCTGTCTATATGGTAACCAGGGTCTCCTCATCCATCCCAGACTTTGGGTCCCTACTCCTGCTCCAGATTTGGGGGCAGGGAGAATGCTTGGTTCCTGGGGGATCCAGGCTGTCATGTCTCCAGTCTGTGAAGGACTAGGGCCCCACTCAAAGGAGAGGCCAGGTTTGCAGGCAGATCACAGAACAGCCAGTTTCGACAAGTGAGCTCAGGACTGAAGAACCCAGAGAAGCAGACTCGCTGGGGCCAAATGCTGTCTGTGCTCCTCCCAACTACGTGTAGATGCTCAGCCAAGCCAGGGAGAACCGGGGTGAGCCCCCAGTGGGACTGCACTTGGGATACATAGAGATTCCAGCAAAATGAATTCGAACTGTAAGCCTCTGGACTTACAGCTGAGCTGGGGAGCAAGCCAAACAGCACCCATGAGAGCTACCTGCATCCACTCGGCCTAAATCCAAACCCACCACTTTGCTGAGAGGTTGCCCAGTCTCCTTAGCCCTGGTGTCACAGGGCTCAGCTACCATAAATGGGCCAGAGAGGCCAGCAAGGCGGGCTCCTCAGACTGAAGCCTCGCTCAGGGAGGGGACTGTGAGGAGAAGGCTGGGGCTCCACACCCCCTTTCTCAGGTGCTGGAGACCTGCTGAGGAAGGTGCTCCCCAAGCCATAGGGAGATGGCCCCCAGGCTGGGCAGGCCTGTGCTAGGGGCAGGCAGCAGAGGAAGCCGATCCAGGGGTCCTGCAGAGGGAGGAGAACTGAACCCCATTAACCTGACCCGTGCTGACTGCTGGCTGTGCAGACCTCGCATATCTAGAGGATTCTTTTCTCCAACACAACTGAGCTTTGCAAAGCAGTGGGATACATGAAAATTTAAATTTCGTACAAAAAGTGAGTCAAATGACCTCAGGAAAATTCTGAGCAAGGGAAAGGGGGAATACTTGAGGAAAAGCCCAAACTCCAGGTTTGGTTTAAGATTTCTTCTTGGCTTTTCTCCTCTCCTGCAGAGTGCCTTTCTCCACCTGGGTGTGGGGTCTGAACTGACAAGCTGCTCCAATCCCCAATTTTGGTCCGAGAAAAGGAAGACGAGGCAATAGGGCCCAAAGAGGGCGTCACAAGCAGGAGGCCACGGGAGAGGGTGTGCAGAGCAAGGCGAGACACAACCGGAAAGAGCAATGCCCACGTGCACGGAAGGCAGCCTGTCACAGAGGTCCGAGTCAGAGGAGGACACAGGACCACGGACCGGACACACTGACACTCCTGGGGGGACAGCCTCCCTCGGCCAGGCGGGCCAGGGCCATTAGTACACGTGGGAGCCTAGCAGGCACCCCCCCACCCTCTGCCGAGTCCCCACCTTCTGTTTCTGAGGAGCAGGGTGCGGGGGCCTCGGGCTGAGGCGCTTTGTCACTCGGCCATGAAAGGAGCCCTCAGCACCCGAGTCTGCCGAGGCCAGTGCTGGCCACCCCCTCGCATTCCAGTTCAGGAGCCCGCGACTCCCAGAGACAGGACCTCCTCCCAGACCAAATGCTCCCCGAGACCCAAACAAGCGACCAAACTATGCCAACCCTATGTACCACACACCCAGATGTCCTGTATCAGAATCAAGATCTGGCTTCACCTCTTACAACCAGGCCTACAACCTCACTGTAAAAATTATAAGCCGAACACAGAGAAGACATGGGCGACGAGTCCCAGTGCACACAGAGCAGGGAAAGGTCAGTCACCTTACAAAACAGGCGTTTCCTCTCAGACTATCTCACCGCCCTCAGCTCTGCAGCCCAGACCGCCTTCTGCCCCAGCGGCATCACAGAAGCTCCCCCTTCGGGCGAGTGCAAAACCACCGCCATCTGCCTGTGGCAGGGCCTCGTGCCCCGGCACGGGTACAGTCCTGATTTCTGGGCCAGCGTGGCTATTTCTGTGTCCAGTGGCTGTGTTTATGGTCTTGCACCAAAGCCTTGGGTACCTGCGATATCCTTTTAGGCGCCTGCTTAATGTCATCGCCTCTCCCCCCATCATCACCTTTGATCGTTTATTCTTTCAAGCATAAGGCCCATCCCACTGATCCCTCCGGCCAAGAGTACGGGGGAGACGCTGTGTCCGCTCTGGCCCCTTACCTGGGCAGTCTTGTTATTCCTGTGACCTGCTGGGTGGAGGGCCAACAATGTGAGGAGAACATGCCAATTTTTCTACCTGTTAGAGGTGAGCTGGTGCCAAGGGTGGGTTGCTCTGTCTTGCATGAACTTGTCCATCACATACTTTATTTTTCCTGTCTTGCTGTTTGGATTGTAAATGAAATGTGAATACAAATAATGAAGAATATCCTCTCTAAAGACACACCCTTTGGCCGGTGTGATGGTTGCACTTGAAGATGGCCTTGTGCTGGGCTGCCCCCGGCACTCCCCCAGCACCCACGTGCCACCAAGTTCCTCAGGTGTACACGTCAGATGTCCATGTCACGAGCAAAGTATCAAATGAGTATGTGTACTGTATATGTGTGTATATGTAAATTAATCTGCATGTACATAAACACTAAAGGAAAAATTCCAGGTGTCTGTTCTCTGAAGGAAGGCAATAACTCATCATTCTTGGCAATTCTGCAGAGAGCTTTGGAGTTAAATAGCTTCACACCCCAGAATGGAAAGGATACAAAAACAATAGACTGCAAAGCTCGCCCAATATGCACAGGCCACCTGTTTAAAACATGTAAGGGTGGTACCTACTGGGACAGAGAGGGCAGAAGACGACTTTTCCAAAGAACAAGGTCTGAAGACTCCTCATTGGCAAGGCAGGCCCTCTCCGGGCGGCCAGTGAGAAGCCTGCCTGGTCCAGTTCCTGGGGGTGGAGGGAGGGTGGGCGTATCGGAAGGGGGACCATGTCTAACCCAGCACCAGTGTTTCTTGCCCACAACCCCTGCCCCCTCTCCGGGGTCTCCTCATGCTGCCCACCAGCCCGGACCAGGAGGCTGTGCCAGGAGGCCCAGTGCTTTGGGAGGCAGGTGGTGTCCAGGTGAGCGGGGCTGCAGGTGACCCTTCTTTTGCTCCACGCTCTGTACCTGCTGCGGGGTACAAGGGTTACCATTCAGTACAGCTTTGAAAGCAAGTTTCCCCACGTGCCAAAGGCATCTGTTCCTGTGACTTTTCTCAATAAAAAAACACACGATGTTTAGGCTAATGTAGCCAGAGGTCTTGTTCCCAAGTGTGAGATATAAATATAGACCTTTAACCCCATAAACCCTGCAAGCACCTGTGCAGTGATGCCCAGCACCTGTGGGCGAGTGCCCAGCACACCAGCCAGGCCCTTGGCATGGGGGCCAGGACGACTCTGGGTGTTCTGCCAGGAACCCCACATGCAGGTCACTATGCCGAAGGCCACCCCAGTTCTGATAATCCCATCCGTCCTCACCCTCACCCGGGCAGGTGTGGGGCTCTCCTCCCAGAGGGGAGCACAGGGGCTGGCAGAGAGGACGAGGGCTGTGAACAGGCGGTGGCCATGCACTATCGCTTCTGTTTTCCATTTCCCTCTCTAAGCATGTCTAGATATTTTTTTTAAATGCGGTCATATAGTCAGTACAATAGGCTTAATAGCAAATGTTTTTTTAGTTGATCTGGTAACTAAAAAGTAACGTCCACGATTCAGACTCCACAAACAAAGCAGAATGACTACGACAGCTCACGAGAGTGGCAATCACATAGCCCAGTCCTTTCTTAAGTGCAGGAACGGCAGGCTCTGCACCGGTTATCCCCCAGGCGTGAGCCCGAGGAGATCCTGCTGCTCCACCTAAGGGGGGGAGAGCACGCCCGAGGCGCCGCCTTCCTTGGGGAGCACAGAGGAGCCCGGCTCCACATGTGCTGTGTGCGCGTCACCCTGCCCGGCCTGGAAGGAGAGGGAAGGTGGCCAGCGATGTCCAGAGAGCAGACACAGGCCATTTTCAGAGATGATGAAGACAAAGCACTGCTGTGCTAACGAAGTGGCTATGTAACAATAAGTGCTTATGATCCGGTGTCTCATTACGTGTGCACAGGCGGACTATGTTAAAAACTGGATTCTGTGTCTATGACTATGGAATCTGAACTACTTTATCCACGGAAAGGCAAAGGACAGGTCCTACATTGGGAAACTGACGGGAACTCTGTCTCCCTCTTCTTGGTGACGCTGGCAGAGGTGGCAGGAGGGTCTGGGCTGTCTGAGGCTCCGGAGCTGGGCCCCGGGCCGGGATGGGAATGATGTGCGGCAGAGAGCTGGGTGGGGCCCTTCCACGTGGCAGGCGGCAGCCCCGACTGGCCAGTCCTTCACAGTCGTCGGTTCAGTTCAGTCCGTTTCTGAGGAGAAAGCACACGCCCGTCACCTCCATGTCAGCTGCCACGTGTGTAGCCCCCGTTTGGGGATGTAACTCCATAAGCAACGCCTTTCTGCCCGCCACTCCCCCTCTGCAGCGGAGGGAGTGTGAAGAAGGAGTGTGGGTAAAGGACGGGCTGCTGGCTAAATCTGGCGAGGGACCACTGCCCAACCCAGGCCTCGCAGCTGGTGCACCGTCTTCTCTGGGCCCGCTCCCCAGGCCGCTGCCTCGGGAGTCCTGTCCTAACCCCTCATCCTACCCGCTTCCTTCCGGCTCCCCAGAACACCCTGTTCTCTGTAACAGCAGCTGGGGCTGATTTCTGACAGGCATTTTACTGAGATTTCATTTCTAACTCCAACCCCCAGTCAAAGCCATGGCTGTTCAGAGGTCCGTCACTCCTGCTGCTTTCAGAGGCAGCCTGCCTGTGGCTGCTGCCAGGGCCGGAGAAGCAGGGCAGACAGACAGTCTTCCTGCACTGGTGTCTGCCTTGGAGAGGAGAGGATGATGCCACAGGTGCAGGGTCGCCCGCCGCTCCTGCTTTGTCCCACCCACGGCAGCAGCACATCACTGGCTGGTGGGTTAGTAGCTGAGGGGGGCAAATGCCCATTCATCCAATCCCAGATTGGCTTTCTTTAGGAGTGTGGTGAGATACACATAACAGAAATCTGCCATTTTGAGTGGCATTAAGTACAGTCACGCTGCTGTGTAACTACCACCCTGTTTCTAGCTGCCTGAGAACAGAATTTAGTGAAACTTTAATTTAAAAAAAGCAAAAGAAACAGCTGGTTCCAGTCCCAGCATCTCTGCTGTTTTGCTGGCGAAGCCAAAGCCCAGGTGGGCATTCCCCAGGGGCAAGTCCGTGCAGGGAGGAGGCCAAGGCGACCAGCCCTGTGAGGACAGACCTGTCTCTGGTGCCCATGACGCCCCTGGGAGGGCCTTGCTCATGGGGAGGGGCCTCTATGAGGAGACAGATACCTCAGGGGAAGGAGGGAGGAGAGGCCTTGGAAAATCAGCACCTGATAGTGATGGACAGTGTGATGTGTCCGTAGCTTCAAGAAACCTGTCTTAGTCCTAGCTGGCCAGCATGCTCAGTGGTTGAGCATCAACTATGAACCAGGAGGTCGAGGTTTGATTCCCAGTCAGGGCACATGCCCGGGTTGTGGGCTTAATCCCCAGTAGGGGGCTGTGCAGGAAGCAGCCAATCAATGATTCTCTCTCATCATTGATGTTTCCCTCCCTCCCTCCCTCTCCCTTCCTCTTTGAAATCAATAAAATATGTATTTTTAAAAGAAATCTGTCTTAAATAAAATACTCTTGCAGAATTTCCTGTCAAGTACTAATACATGACCCACCATTTGATTCCATATATGTCCAAGAGGGAATGATTTTCCATTACTTCCACATCAGGAACAATTAAAGAGCAAATTACAGGATTTTCATTATTAAAAAACTTAGACGTGTATCTAAGGATAATTAACAATTTTTAAAAATATATTTTTATTGATTTTGTGCAGAGAGGAAGGGAGAGAGATAGTTAGAAACATCAATGAGAGAGTCATCGATCAGCTGCCTCTTGCACACCCCCACTGGGGATATGCCTGCAACCAAGGTACATGTCCTTGACCGGAATCGAACCCGGGACGCTTCAGTCCCCAAGCTGACACTCTATCCATTGAGCCAAACCGGTCTCGGCTCTAAGGATAATTAAAGACTCTCTTTTTGTTTACCAATTTGAGTTGAATTTCCTCAAAAGCCCTATTGCTCTCTCCTACCCAGTAGTTTGGGTTCTGCCTGACCCTGGTGATGTTCTGACCTGTTCTCCTACTGCTGAAAAATGGCTGGAAAAGTGTGGACCTTATAGGCTCACTATGTGCCTGCCCTGCACCAGTTTTTAAGAAACATAAAATAAACAACTCTCCACCCCTGATCTTCTTATGCCAGTTACCCCAAAGCAGCCGGCAGCCTCTGAAACAACACACGTTCCCACGCAGTAAACCCAGTGCCCGCCCATGGGTGCCGCTCCCCACACCCAGGAGGACAGCCATGGCTCCTACGGGCTCCTTACCCAGCTGACGACCAGCCTGGGGACTTGGTATGTCACAGGGCTCCGAGCTGGCCTCAGGGGCACTGGGCTCCCACGACTCACTGTTTTCGGACACCTCTGAGCAGGTGTCGCCCAGCCCCTTGTGCACAGCTGCAGGCTCGCCGGGGCCCTGGTCCTCGCTGCCGGTGTCCGCCACGGCCCGGGTCTCCTCGCCCATTTTCTCCGCAAACCACTGCTTGACCTGCTGGGAGCTCATCTGGGTCTTCTCGCAGAGGCCCGGCAGGTCCTCCTCGTTCAGCGTCTTGTGCGTCACGTAGTAGTCCTGCAGCAGCTCCCGGTTGCCGGGGGTGATGACCAGCAGCCCTGGGGGGAAGTTGCCCCGCTTGTAGTCCTCGTACCACTTGAGCTGGCCGTTCTTGAGGGCGTACCTGCTGTCCCCGAACCAGCGCACCACCTCCGGCCGGGGCAGGCCTGTCTGCGCCATGATGGAGTCGTAGTCCTGGGTGCTGGGCCACTGCGTCTGCACGAAGAGCTGGCGCAGCAGGTGCCGCTGCTGGGCCGTCTTTTTGCAGCTCACCTTGCCGGGCGGCTGCAGGGCCGGCTTGGTGGACGGGTCGTCGTCAGGGTCGCAGGCGCCCAGCCCGGGCAGCTCGCCCTTGCCGTTGGCCTCGGTGACCCGCAGGTTCTTCAGGTTGATCTTGATGGGGCTGACTTTGCGCTCAAACAAGGTGTGGGTGCTGGGCACGTCTGGGGAGCCATTCTCCCCAGGGACCCTCAGGTCACCGGCCGCAGCCTCCGCTCCCCCCTCCTCCCCGGCGGCCTCCTCCTCCTGACAGGCGCTCCCATCGGCCCTGGCGGTCTCCTCGGTGCTCACCTTCCTCCGTCGCTCAGAGAACCAGCTGTCGATCTCCCTTCGGGTCATTTTGGTTTCGGTCCTCAGGCGGTCCAGCTCCTCGTCCAGAGGAAGCGGGTTTTGTGCAAAACTGCTCTCCAGGGCGCGGAGCTGCTCGGGGGCGCGCTCCTTGTATTTGGTTGGTGTGAAGTCAGGGGTCTGGTGCCAGGACTGTCGTTTGGCGGAAGGGTGGGTGGCCAGGATGGCTGCCGTGGGGATGCAGGTCACCTCGGGGGCCTTGGACACTGGGGCGAAGGGCACCTCTGGCACAGAGTCAATGAGGATGGAGCTGGGGTCCCCGGGCATCATGATGCGGGAGCCCTTCAGGTTCCGGCAGTGGTACCTCCGGTCACTGAACCACTTCCTCACCTCCCTGGTACTCAGGCCGGTCACTTTGGTCAGATGCTCGACTTCGCTCTGTCCCGGGAACTGGTTCCGACAGAAGCTGCCTTTCAGAGCTGACAGCTGTTCGTGAGATTTCTTGTTTTTGTAGATGCTGGCGTCAAGGAAGGCTTGGGAAGTGATGCTCGGGCACGCTGTGAGCAACGACTGAGCTGCATTGACCACCTTCACCGCTGACGCTGTGTTGGAACACACGGTGTTAATGGGCGCCACCGCTGGCTGCTTGGGGATGGACGTCACTGCCAGAGGGAGAGACGCGCTTGGTGCCTGCAACCCATTGGCCAGCAGCGGCTGAGTGACCAGAAGGCCCCCCGCCGCTCCCTCTGGCTGCCCCACAACATGGCCCGGGAGGGCGGCCTGGATGAGATGCTGGACGTTGCCAGCGTTGGCCACCAGAGGAGTATTCAGAACGGTGATTGTGGGCTGCGGGACGGACTGGATGACCGTGTTGAACATCTTTTTCCGGGCATCCTCGATCTCCTCGGGGGACCAGCTGATGCCTTGTTTCAGCCGCTGGGCTGTGAACCAGATCTTGAGCTGCTCCTCTGGATACTTGGTAACCACGGTCAAGTAGCAGAGCTCGGCTTTGGTTGGGTAGGGGAACTTGTGGAAAGAGTTCTTCAGGAAGCTGTTGGAGTCCATGGCTGCATTGTACGTTGGAATGCTGCTCAAGGGGATCATCACTTTGGGGAGGGACTTGGAGGTGGGCAGTGGCTGGTGGGGGTGGGGGTGGGGGTGGGCATGTGCCGGGGGCTGCTGCTGGAGAGAGAGGAACTGTGCTATCCCCGCCGGCAGAACCGGCACCGTCCCCAGCAGGGGCCCGTTGGTCGTGTGGGGAGGCTTGGCCGGGTTGGTGGGTGCCTGGCTGACGGGAACCGCCCCATTGACAGAGGACTGGTCCGCTTCCTTCGCGTCTGCCTCCCCAGCTGGCGGGTTCGGTAAGGTGTCACCGGCAGGTTGACTGGGGGCGTTTTCCTTGAGCGTATGGATTTTTTTGGCTTCAGCTTTGCCTTTCATTATCTTCATGATTGGAGTTTTGGTGATGATGATTTCGGCTTGTCCATCGGTCCCGTCGGCGCTGGGCTCGCCCAGCGCGTCAGGAGCACTGCTGCTCTCAGGGACGCTCTGCTCCACGATCACATGATTGTCTGGCTTGGCCACATTCCACCGAAAGCTGGCTTCCCCCAGGTGGCACTTGGCATTGTGCAGAGAAAGCGCCTCAGGAGTTTTTGCCAGAAAGCTGCACTCATTGCATACAAAGGTCGGGTCTATATTAAAGTCTGTGTGCTCGGAGTTCATGTGTCCCACAAACTGGGTAATGTCCTGGGATCTGAAATCACAGTATTTACAAGAATACAAATAGCCATCCACAGTGCTCGGATGCCCGTTGGCCAGCGCAGCGCTGTCGGTGCTGCTGGAGGCCTGGGCGACCTCGCTGCTGGGGGCAGGCGCCTCTGGGGGCAGGTCCGGCGGGGGGCCTTCGGGCAGAGCCTCCGCGGGCTGGGCCTCTGCACCGGCTTCCGGCAGCACCACGGTCTTCACGGGGATCATGCACGGGGTGGTGGATTTCCGCTTGCTGGCCATGGCGAAGCCGCTCCGGGTGATGGCTTGGGGGCAGCTTGTCCTGTCAAAGGCCTCACAGTGCAAGTTCCAGCTGCTGCATGAGGGCCAGAGGGTTTCCAAAGGCAGCTTTTTCAGTTTGCAGAAAGCAAGTTTTCCCTATTAAACCTGAGGAGGAAGAAAAAAACATGATTAAGATCTCCGAAGCTCTGCTGTGTTTCTCCGATGCTCGGACACACTCCGTTGCTTGGCTTCTATCGCTTCTGCCACTTGGGGACAGCCGGCAGGAAGTTCCGCAGCAGCTTGGATGTCAACTTGGAGTCAGGAGCCCCCCAAATGCTGACAATACCGTGCCCTGAAGAATGACCTGGAGATGTTCCCATCCCACTTGACAGACTTCAGACATGTGTTTCTGTTTTGTATTTCCCTCTGCCTCCATGCGTTAAGTAACTCAGATTCAAAAACAAAAACGACAACAATGAACTAATCCTCTCTTGAACCTCCAAATTCATTCTGACCACGTCTGAGTGAGAACAAAAGATCCTAGTGTAGTTCTTGTTTAAATGTTTGGGCCAAGCAGGGCTTTCTTTTCATAGCCTTCCCACATATGAGAACAAGATGACGCCTTTGCCTCGCCCAAGCCAGGCCAAGGCCAAGTCAGCGGGCGGGGGTGCTGGAGCCGGGCCTGCTCCGTGCCCTTTCCCTGCCTGCCGCCCTGTCACACACCCTCCAGGCTGCAGGAGAGGGAGCACCTCACCATTGCCGCCCTGTCACACACCCTCCAGGCTGCAGGAGAGGGAGCACCTCACCATTACTGCTGTACCCCAGACCACTGCGGAGCCAAAGGCCACAGGGTCAGGGGGTCCACAGACCCAGTCTGCGCCCCCCAGCTGCACATGCTCTCTCTGGCGCAGCCATTTACAGTGTGGCCTCACCTTGGTGCACAAACTGCACATAACATTGTATTGTGCTGATTTCATTTTTATTTCTTTCAGTGCCTTCCTTAAAAATACAAACTCTTAAATCTTTGATCCATTTGAAATTTATTTCAAAAGCTGGGTGACTGATTTATTTACATGTAAATAGTTATTATAACTTTTTTTTTAAAGTCTCATGAGGACATGCTTTTATTGATTTTAGAGAGAGAAGAAAGGAGAAGGAAAGACAGAGAAACATCGATGTGAGAGTGAAACATCAATTAGTTGCCTGGGTATGTGCCCTGACCTTTTAGTGTACAGAATGAAGCTCCAACTAACTGAGCCACACTGGCCAGGGCCACTGCAATCATTCTTTCCTGAAATGAGAAAGCGCTTCTGTGATTCCTATCATTAACATAATATCACGATAATCATCATCATCTTTCTTTTAGCAAATGATAATATTAGTAATGATTAAAATAATTTTAATACCAAAATAATGTTATCATTAGTGTTTGGATTTTATATAAAAGTGTAAAGAAACGTAAAATATCTCTATTCATATTCTGAGTGAATAAACACAGCAAACTTTTTCTGTTTGTAAGTCTAATGCTAATTATCATAATAAAAAATAATTACCATTAAAAAATAGTTAGTGTGGGAAGGATAAACATACACCTAGGATCTAATCTCCTGTCACCATTTCCCGACCAATTTGAAATATCATGAACATATCTTCTATACTCAATTTTTAATTGTAAAAATAAAATATCAGTATTAAATAAAATTTAAGAAAATAAAACCACCTGTAATTTTGTATATTCTTCCATCTAATGCAAATATTTCACACATTTTTTATTGCAAATATTTCACACAAATTGTCTTTAGAGAGAGTGGAAGGGAAAAGGAAAGACAGAGAGAAACATTGGTTGGTTGCCTCCGGCATGGTCCCTGAACAGGGCCAGAGATCAAGCCCGCAACTGAGGTATCGGTATGTGTCCTTGACTGGAATTGAACCCAGGACCTTCAGTCCACAGGCCAAGGCTCTATCCACTGAGTAAAACCAGCTAGGGCTCACACATATTTTTAATCATCTTGGGCACATTGTTTTTTTTCCCACTGAACATGACATCATAAACATTTTCATTAAATAAGCTTCATAATTATAACATTCAATAGCTGCTTAATAATGTACCACTATAGACTTAATTCATACTCCTCTGCTATTGAACATCCCTTGCTCACAAGTGACAGTGAAATGACCTCTGGATATATAGAATGTATTATTCCACTAAATGATTTCTTAAGGATGAGTTCACAGAAATGGGCTTACCAGCTCAGTGAGTATCAACATTTCTGAATTCCTCTATATATTATTGACTAACATTTTCAATCATGTGCTTTATAATTCCAAATCAGGAAACTAAGAACAACACATTTATGTTTCCAGTGAGCAACTCATATTTTAGGGTAAATAACTGAAGACATCAAATAGAATATTTGAAAGCACAAGAGATGTAATAAAAAGCAGATAAATTAGTCTTAAAATTAAAAACTTTTAGGCCTCCAAGGTCAGCATCAAGAAAGAGAAAGACAACTTGCAAAATCAGAGAAAATATTTGCAAATCATGTATCTGATAAGGGACTTGTATCCAGAATAAAGAACTCTGACAACTCAACAATAAAAAACAAAATACCCAATTAAAAAATAGGTAAAGGATTTGAAAGACATTTCTCTAAAAAATATAAAAAAATGGCCAGTAAATACTTTAAAAAGTGCTCAACAGTGATGACTGGTGGAGCTCAGAGCTCCATGGCCATCCAGGCAGCAGTGGAGCAGCCCAGATCTAGATATCACAATGAGATATCACTTCATACCCTTAGGATGGCAAAAAAATCCTAAACAAATCCTATCTTATAAAGAGGAAATATGCTAATTGATCCTCACACCATCCCAAAGATGGCAGCGCCCACAGCCAATAAGGAGGGAATATGCTAATTGACTGCCCTGTCCTCAAAGATGGCTGTACTCACAGCCAATAAGGGGGGAACATGCTAATTGACTGCCCTGCCCTCAAAGATGACGACACACTGTCCCCTAAGCCCCACTGGAGCAGCAGGCACACAGCAAGGCCGGGCCCACCCTACATGCCTGCCTCCAGAGTCCCCAGTCCTCTCAGCCTCCAGCAGCCCAGGGCCGGCTCAAAGGCGCAGGCAAGCCTTGGATGGCAGCTGCCCAGCCGCCCAGAGCCTGACCAAGGTGCAGACAAGCCTCAGATGGTGGCTGCTCAGGTGACCAGGGCCAGCTGAGGCTTGCGCTGCCGGCAGTGGCAGCAACAGAGGTGTGCATCACCTTCCCGATTGCTGGGTCACCTCCTGGCCCTGAGGGACAGGAGGGCTTAGGGAACCCCTCCAGCGCATGAATTTTCATACACCAGGCCTCTAGTAAATAAATAACAGAAAATATCAAGAGTTGTGGAAGATGTAGAAAAATTGGAACCCTTGTCATTGTTGATGGAAATGTAACATTGTATTGCTTCTAAAGAAAACAGTATGGCCTTTGCACTCTGATGTTTAGTTTCTTTGACATAAAGTTTTTAAGTTTGATTTAGTCCCACTTGTTTATTTTTGTGGGGGTTTTTTTGTTGTTGTTAAATCCAATAAATCATTGAGAAACCAATGTCATGAAGCCTTTGCCCTGTTTTTTTTTTTGTTGTTGTTCTTTTAGCAGTTTTATAGTTCCAAGTCTTATGTTTAGGTCAGTGATTTTTAAATGGTGTACCATGGCACACTGGTGTGCAGTACTTGACTATTTAGTCAGGGGCACTGATCTCTTTTCTTAGATTGTCACACACACACAAAAAAAAATGCCAACACAACAATAGTCAACTGGAGTGAATGAATCAATATTATACCTATTTTTGTGTGAGACAAAACGTATATTTCTGTTAGTGCCACATAATTTTAGTAATTAGTTTACATGTGCCATGAGATAAAAAAGGTTGAAAATCACTAGTTTAGGTCTTTGAGTTAATTTTTGTATATGGTGTAAGGTAACGGTCCAACCTCATTCTTTTGTATGTGGATATACAGTTTTCCAGCACTATTTATTGAAGCTACTGTGTTTTCTCCTTTGTGTAGCCTTGGCAGCCTTGTTGAAGATCATTTGACTATATATGAAAGAATGCATTGGACTCAATTCTGTTTCATTTGTCTATGGAAATCTTTATGCCAGGGTCATACAGGTTTTTTTTTGTTTTTTTGTTTTTTTTTTAATATATACTTTTTTATTTCAGAGAAGAAGGGAGTGGGACAGAAATATTAATGCTGAGAGAGAATCATTGACTGGCTGCTACTGGGAATCAAGCCTGCAATCAAGGCATGTGCCCTGACTGGGAATTGAACCATGATCTCCTGGTTCCTACAGTGACACTCAACCAATGAGCCACACCAGCCAGGTGTGTGTCATATAGTTTTTATCACTGTACTTTTGTAATACAAGGTTGGCAAAAGTAGGTTTACAGTTATGAGTTATGAGTAAGGACTGCTTTGGCCCTCACAGCCCCAGCTTCGTCCAGAAGTTCGTCCGGAAGGATGTCCGGAAGGTCATTCAGCTGTCTCATCTAATTAGCATACATGTTTTTATTATTATAGATTCCTTTTTAAACATCACTGAAGATGAATGAAAGTTAAAATGGTTGATCATAGATCAGCAGCAAAATACAAACTAACAATTCAAATTATAAATAAAATTCTGTTTAAGATATTTAACGGATTCTCCAAATATAAGAATTAAGCTGAAAGGAAACAAATTTGTGGGCTTTTCTTTTAAACAAATATAGGTATTTTTCCTTTGATTCTTTAAGCTTTAATTAAAAACATTTCCCTCTAGCAGAAGTTTTCAATTCCTTTCATTGTCATGGTATTATAAATTACAGGATCAAAAATGCTTAATTTTCTTGCTATTCCGCCCTCATGTTATTCCCCACCCCTACTCAACATATAATTTTAATATTTTGGATAATAAAAGACAATTTAGAAATTAAAGTCTAATTGACCACTTGCAATAATTGTTTTTTTCTATACTGTCTTAATAAATGTTTAAATCCAAACAAGTTTTCTTCACAATAGGTTGATAATCACAAGTTATATGTGAAAATCTGATTACTCTGACCTTTTTTCAAGTGTTTAAAAAACACACCAAACTACCTGTTAGACCCCTGAGTGAAATCCCAAAGAAGACAATGATGC